CGGTATAGAGAGAGCAGGTCTTTCTCAGTGTGACACCAAAAGAAGAAATCACAAAAGAAAAGATGGATTTGGTATATTTGACCTCATACTAATCAAAAGCTTCTGTATGTTCAACACAAATGTATAAAAGTGAAAGGCAAACACTAAGCCAGGAAAAGAATCCTGATATACAAGCCAAAGGGTGGGTGCTAAAGCATAAACTGTTCCAACCTTTCAAAGAACGTTAGCTATTTCAATCTGTCTCTAGGGCAGTTTGGCAAAATGTATCAAAGCCTTGAAGGTGTGTATATCCTTTGACCCAGCAATTCCAATTGTGAGACTTGATCCTGTGTGATTAATCTTTGGTGTGGGTAAAGATTTAGCTATTAGGCTTTTTGTTTATAACAGAAGCAAAGAGAAACAGTTGAAATGACCAGCAGTAAATGATATAGGTTACAGAAATAAAACTAGTGGTACATTTGCATTTTATACCTGTGCCACTAGTTTTATTTCTATAGTGCTTAAAAATCAGAATGATAAGAAATGATGATTGGCATATAAAAACTTTCATGAGGCCAGGTGTGGTGGTTCATGCCTATAATCCCAGCACTTAGGGAGTCTGAGGCAGGAGGATTGGTTGAGGCCAAAAATTTGAGACCAGCCTGGGCAACATAGACCCCATCTCTACAAAAAATTAACAATAAAAAAATCAGCCCATCATAGTGGTACATGCCTGTAGTCCCAGCTACTCGGGAGGCTGAGGCAGGAGAATTGCTTGAGCCCAGGAGTTGGAGGTTACAGTGAGCTATGATCATGCCACTGCACCTCAGCCTGTGTGACAGAGCAAGACCTTATCTCTAATAAATGAATAAATAATAAATTCATGATATGTATTTCCTTTACTTTTAAAAGTCACGTAAATATTAAGATAACACATGTACACACTGTGATTCAGGCTATTGTTTATTTTTTCCTTTGGGATATTTTTTGTGTGTTTATGTTTTGTCCTCTGTTTTTCCATGTCTTCCAAGTTTCTGACATTGATCAGGTGCTATTTTTGTAGTCAAGAAAAAAAAAAGGAGTTTTTTTGGTTTATTTGAGAAAAATACGGAAAGTGCAAAGAAGAAAACAGTAATCATATTCTCACCACCCAGAATTAACCACTACTAACATTTGGCATGTTTGCTTCAGTTATTTGTCTTTCTGCAGATTTTAAAATTATAATTAACAACACCAAAACATAAACCCTGGTCATCTATTAGATACGAGACCTGGATAGGGGAGCGGGCTTCCCCCTTTTTTTCCTCCCTCCCTCTCTTTCTCCTTTTCTGTATTTCTCAAGTTTTTTTTGATAGCATGTTTTTACTTTTATAACTTTTTAAAAAGTTATTTTTTCTGATGAGCATATTTTACTTTTTAAGGGGATAAACTATAATTAACTGTAAAATATTTTTAAATGCCAAATAAGTCTTAGGCGTTTTAGAGGAAGGTAAGCGAGGTTTTAGACTTGAGAATAGCTTTGCTTAGGCCGGGGGGAGAGAAGGTATCCCCCATGGGTGGGGGTGCCGTATGGCCCAGGTGCCCCGGATAGTCCGAGTTGTCCTGATGACACGCATTCAAAAACATCCCAGTTTGGGATAGGAAGTTATAAGGAGTCTAGATTTGGGGGATTAACATCCACTTGGCTGAATCAGGGTAGTTGTACTTGGTGAATGGGAAAGAAGATTAAAAGGAGATGAGACCATATCATAGAGGCTCATTGAATGCTAAATTCCTCCATGGAGTCTAGGGCTGGGGCAGGAAATGTACAAGCTGAGCCTGGAGCACCTTGTAGTGCCAGAAGGTAAGGAAGTGCTAGACAGCACACACACTGATGTGGATGTGTCAAAAGGACATCGGAGCCAACCGAAAGAGCTGCCAATGGCCAAAGCTAGAGCAGTTCGAGCATCAAAACCAAGCAGTATTAGCTCATAACCCACAATGTAAGGTGAATATCTATGCATCCATGCTGGTAAATGATTGAATACATAAATTAATAAATAGGGCTCTGCATATTGGCTCTCTCCCAAAGAGTACAGTATGAAAAGAGGGGATGGGTAGCAACTTTATAGTGGAGGAAGCTGGGACAGACTGCTCCAGCCTGTGATCAGGGTCCCCGGCAACAGGGATAAGTCATGTCAATTTCATGGAGGACGATGGCTCTGCAGCTCTTGTCATCTTCCTCCCCAAAACCCATAACTCCCGTCTAGACAGGAGAAAAACATCAGGCAAATCCCAGTTGGGGGGCATTCTACAAAATGCCTACCTAGCACTCCTTAAAACTGTCAAGGTCACCAAAAACAAGGAGACTTTAACTATCACAGCCCAGAAGAGCCTAAGGGAACACAGTAGCTAAATGTAATGTAACCAGGGTGGGATCTTGGAGCTGAAAGAAGGACACTAGGGAAATCTAAGGAAATCTGAATATTGTCTTGAATAGATCAATACTGGTTAATTGTGACAAATGTACCATGCTAATACCAGAAGGAGAAACTGAGTGTGGGGGATGTGGGAATTATATACTTCCTTCACAATTTTTCTATAAATCTAACTTTAAAAAGCTTTCTATAGATCTAACTTGAAAAAAAGGTGTTCTTCTAGCAGGAAGAGACAGGGCTTTTGAGCAGGTGAGTTGAAAAGTCAACAGTATGATAAAGCTATGTGTGATCATCAGGAGCTGCGATGGAAATACAAAGAGAGACCCGGTTCGGTCTACACAGTAATGTAACCTCTCATTTGTGCCAGAGCACCCGGTTCAGCATAAGCGCCGTCCTGTTTAATTTCCAATCCTTTAAAGAATGACGGGTCACTTCTAACTCTATAGTACTGTAAAACTAGGTATTTCGATCAAATACATGTAACAGACTCACGTGAGCAGAGGGTCGAGCTGTGAGTAGCAGAGAGGAAACCGGGCCAGCAGCCAGGAGTGCTGTTTATTCCTGGTCCTCTTGCGAACCAGCAGAACGACCCTGGGCGAGTCACTGAATCTCCCCAGAGCTGCTTCCTCATCTGCAAAATGAGAGGGTTGAACTGGAAAAAAAATTTCTATGGTAACTTAACAGTTCTAAAAATACCGAGATTCTAAATTAAGATTTAGAGAGAGGCTGTGGCTCCACAAATAATGGAATGTAAGTTCCTAATCTCTCGGTCCCGAGTCTGCGGTACTAGACTCCAAGAAGCGTTTTGAAGACCACGTAGAATTCTCATCCTACTCCCCATATTCTTGGAATGGAGATCAGTTTAGAATTCCCGTTTTAGATGAGCAGAAGGGACCGTGTAGTCCAACTCTTTTGTTTCACAGTTTAAGAAACTGGGCTCCAGAGATTGTGATTTGTTTAAATCACAAAACTAGTCAGAGGCAGGGACCAGGTTTCTGAGATCTGGTCTAGAGCTTTTTCCACTGCAGCATCTTCCCACGGAGCACGAGCAGTGTTTTTGCAATGCCACCAGGACCTCATTTGCACTGTCTCCAGAACGGTCCTCGAGGACAATTGTTCACTGTCCAAAACCATTTTATGTGTCCGCTCCAATCCCTGATTGTGGGCAGAGTAACCCGAGGCTTGGGGAGAGGACTCATTTCCCCTTGAACCTTTCCTCTTTAGGTCTGAGAAAGTGAAACGGCAATTTCACTTTTTCCTTTTCAGTTCCATACCGTCCCTCGTTCCCCTCTGGCAATCATAGAGCCAGGGATGATTTGTTTGTAGAAGCCACGTGAATCGGCCAGATCCCAAAGGGTTAACACTCCCAAATTATGGGACTGCGTTAACAATAAACAGGATGTCCTCCAGAAATTAAATTTAAACCACTGTGACTCAGGCTGGCCCATCCCCTCAACCGGATCGCTGTCTGGGGTCATTATCGGTGGTTAATTGTACCGTTGGCTTTAGCAACAGTATTGGTCAGCTTGGGCCAAATGAAAGCAGGTTCAGGGAGAAGCGGGCGTGGAGGGAAGTGGATCGTGGAGGGAAGTGGATCGGGTGCAGCATGGAAGCGGGAGGTTTGAATTGCAGAGCTCCTGCAGGCTTAGCCGAAAGGCCAGGAGAGAGGTGGGAGCGGCTGAGTGAGCGCCCTCTTCCCCAGCCGATCCCAGGGCTGCTTCACTGTCCTGCCTGCGCGCGGGGAGCCTGCCCTTTGAGAATCGGAGAATATTCAATGCCTTGAGGAAGCTTCTGAATTACCTAGTTTAATGCACTCACTTTGCAGAGTAGGAAGGGAAGTCCTAGTGCGGTCGTCACCTGCCAGAGGGCAGCCTGCTCCGTGGTTTCCCTTCTGTTGTGCCAACCCATCTTCCATTTCCAAGTGGGGAGTCTGAGGTGCGGGCTTCAGAGCAAGTTCAAGGCAGACTTAGGCTGGATTTCAGATTCTTCTGCAAGTTAGCCGCATTTAGATTTTGTCAGTTTTCCTAGGGAAATGGCCCAGCCTGGCCAGTCATTAATGTCCCTATAATTTGTCATCTCTCCCCAGCCTCCATCCTCCCAAGAAGCTCTGCAGATGCAGTTTGTCCCTCTACAGGGAAGTAATGAAACTCCTAATATAGACCATAAGTGATTTTTGTGGTGTTTTTATAAAGGCATGTTTTCAAAGATGATAGCTATTACCGTGAGTCTGTAATTTGTGACTTTGCAGCCCCTCAAGACACGGGTTTATAATGATTGTGATTTGCAGGGTGTCTCCCCTTTCCTGCCCGTGCCTCTTCGGTGTATTTAAAGGACAGGCTGTTAGTAGGAGAGGTGCTCGGGGACAGAAGGTGGTGCCCAAGAACCTGTGTGTGACGCTGTTGATGGGAGGTTCTCTCTCCTAGAACCAAGCCAGGGTGCTGATGTTCCTACACCCGCCAGGACAGGGGGTCCAAGTTCAAGCAGCGAGCCACTGCTGCTCTTCCTCCCCCTCCTGGAGGAAAAGTGGCCTATACCGTGTCGACTCTTTCAGCCACATCCCTCCCCATTTCTCACAATATCCTTCTTTGTCTCCTTCTCTTATAGGATTCCTTTTAAGATTACACAGCCCAAGAAACAGATTGTTCCCAAAACAGTGAGTACCCCCAATTGTTTTGCTCTGAGATTCAGCTCTATGTCACGTGGCCTTTGCACAGCACCAGAGCTTGGACTCAACACATCTTGGGGCTGGGAAGACAGCAACGCAACCTGGGCCTTCTTCCCACTTGTGGAGATCTATATCCTCGTGTAGAATGGGGTTTGGAGGGGCCTCCTCTCCGAGGAACATTTTCTCCCTAAGGTCAGCCTGGTCCCTTCCCCGTCTCTGGGCAGGTGGAAGAGGTGGGTTGCAGAGGTGGGAGGAAGGCACTGCTTCTGAGCAGGTCCACCTCTAGGAGCTGGCCTGGAGGTCAACACCTTTCCTAAGAGGGCCCCTGAAACAGAGAGCCCCACCAAAGACACAGCCCAGGCCTTTGCTTCTGGCACCTCGACTGCAGAAAAGACCAGGAAGTTTTTCCAGGTGGCCTGGGTCCACTTCTCTCCGCTCCAGATGCATTCTTGGCAGTGATCCAGAGTCCCTCGGCAGGAGAGGATGACTGAATCCTGCCACCCCCCTTTTAAGCCCTCGGTTTTTATCCCTATTTTATCTCCAGGATGGGAGAGGAAGAGAATCATAGATTCTTAGAAAGTTAGAGGTCATCTGGTCCACCCTCCTGATTTTTCCTGCTGAGGACAACAAGCTCCATGAAAAAAGTTGCAGTGACTCTCTGTGGTTCTAAAAGCCCCGTACTGGCAGAGCTGGAATGAGAACTCAGGTTTGAGGCCGGGCGTGGTGGCTCACGCCTGTAATCCTAGCACTCTGGGAGGCTGAGGCAGGATTGCTTGAGGCCAGGAGTTTGAAGCTGTAGTGAACTATGATGATGCCACTGCAGTCTAGCCAGGGCGACAGAGCAAGACTCTGTCTCCAAAAAAAAAAAAAAAAAAAAACTCAGGTTTGATCCTTTGGTCAATACTCCTTCCATTGCTTTGTGCTGCCTCAGGCTGTGACAACCTCCCGGGATTTGGGGGGTCTAGGACAGAACGGCCTCTTCAGCCTCCTCGCCCACAAAGCTGAGTGAGTCTCTTGGTTTTAAGATGGGGGACCACGACTATAGAGCCTCTCATGTGGCAACTCCAGAAAGTCCATGCAGTAGAGGCCATTATCTCTGTCCTACCAGCCCCTGACAGTTCTCCTTGTCTTACTAACTTCTTCCCCTGCTTGGCTCAGCTCTCAGAACTGCAGGAAAGATATTGGTTCGGTTTGACAGAAAGTTCAGCGCACACCTGACCAACGTCTCCATCGTTGGGAACTCCAAAGTTAGGTCACTTGAAAGGAAATGGGCCCGAGTTAAAAGAGCCCCCCTGCTTCCTGCAAAGGCAGTCGCTTCAGACTCGGCGTTTACCTCCCATGCAGCGGCCGACCATCTGTGGAGGCTCTCAGCTGAAGCCCAAAGAATCTGGGCGTGCGAGTGTTGAGTCTGGCCAGCTACAGGAAGTGGGAAGGTGTGGCTCTGGGTCTCCAGAGTTTAATCCATGGCAGATCTGCAAGGGAAATGGTTTTGAGAAGGGTCTTTTATTCCCAACACTCACTGCAAAAAAAAACCAAGCAAACAAGTAAAAAACCCTCCCAACACCCCAACCCTTGTAGAAATGGCCTTTGTTCTCCTTGGAAGAGTATAGGCTAGAATGCACTTTCTAGCTTCTTTGCCAGTTTGTTGACAGAAAGATCTCTGAGTCCTTTAATGTGAGGAGTGGCAAGGACTGCAAAGGGAAGGACAGATGCAGTGTGGCCTCCCTCTTCCCTTCCGTGCCTCTGTCTCATTTGAGAGGGAATCGTGGCCCTCTGATTTATGGTGTCAGCTCCCCCAGACAGACTAGCTGTCGGGTAGCAGTTAAGAAGCCAGGGCTGGGAGGCTGGCAGCCTGGGTTCCCATCCCCAGCCTGCCACAAGCTGTCTGTGACCTGGGGCAAGCTCATCCGCTTCTCGGAGACTTAGTTTTCTCATTTGTAAAATGAAGATGATGATGGTGCCTGCGTTGCAGATAAGTCTGGCACTCAACACGGTGTCTGGCACGTAACCCCTCAGTAAATGCTAAGTACCTTACAGGAAGCTAGTTGATTTGACTCTCTTTATAAACCATCCCAAGCAGCTCGGTCCCCTGGCGCAGTGACATTCCAGGCTGGGGCTTGGGTCTCTCGCAAGGAATCAAAGCTCAGAGTAGAGTGGCTTGCTCCCTTGGCGCAGACCCCCACTCCCAAGAGGCACTGAAGCAAATGTAGCGAGACCCTGCCTCTTCGCTCTCACTCTCCACCCTGCCGCTCCCTCCCGGCCCCCAGAACAGGGCTGGGCTGTGCAGTCGTCTCAGCATCTCTGGCAGCTGCCCCTGAACGGCGATGACGCACGCTGTTGTTCTTGCCCAGGCACTTTCGGGGAGGGGAGCAGATGTGGCTCCCGGGTTATTGGAAGTCGTGGCGCCCCTGTCATGGGAAGAAATGCTCATGTTATCTTCAGGGAGTTTCAGGAGGTTTTTGGCTCAAGGCACCCACAGCCAGACACAAAGAAAGCATTGTGTCTGTGCCCTCACTGTTCCCCTGTGCCCAGGTACACAAATTCCATCATTGCGGAGGCTTTGGCTGGCATGGCGTGTTCTCTGCAGGGGCTGACCATCGGAACCGAGCCGGAACAACAAAAGCTCTCCCCTCCCGATCCTAACCTCTGCCTAGCCCCCTCTCGCTCCCCAGGTCCCATAAAGTGGGGGAGCATCTGTGTGCGGAGAGAAGCAGCTGCACCTCCCTGTGTAACCTGGCAGGATGGAAGAGCTCTTTGAAACTTTGCTCACCATGCCCCTCTGAAGCAAGGGTCACCCTGGGTCTTGTGCACATGGAAAGCACATTCCTAGCTGGGTAGGTGCTCTGTGAAGTCAGGGCCAAAAGGAGTCTGGCCACACAGCCTCTCCACTCGGGAAGGATTTCCACGTGCCAAGTGACAGGGCCCTGGGCCTCATCAATCGTCCTTAATCGTGTTGGGGCAAAGGCAAGGACAGCTGCTTTCCACCCAGAGCAGCCCTGAAGGAGGGGCTTCCCAGAATGCTGAATGTCTAGGCTCTGATCAGTCACACCCCAGTCCTGGGATCAGAGCCCCGGCCCTTCCCTTCACCGTGAGTGTAAGTTTGTTGGGGGACTCAGCCTGTTCATTCATTTAACAAATACTGAGTTCCTGCTCTGGGCCAGGGCCTGACCCAGGCGCTGCAGATAGAGCAGTGAATCACTCAGCCTCGGAGAATGAACGCAGAGCGCGGCCAAGGGTGGTCATCTAGCGCTTGGTTCTCCCTGCGCTGACCTCGCCGGCCTGGCCCGGCCTGTCCTGGTCCCTGGCGGTCCGTGCACGTGTGTTGAACTTGCCTTGCTGACTGGGCTCCAGCTGTCTTTCTGGCAAAGGCATCAAGCACTCAGAGATATTCAGATCTTTTCCGTTTGGCTCTTTTCCTCAGAATGCGTATACCTCAGAATGAGACTCCAGTGTGTCCCTTTAGTCCCTGAGCCATCATCTGGGGCCGGAATTCTGGCCATGTTCCCCTTGCATCTTTCCCTAGGAGGAGAGAGATCTCTGGCCAGTGGGCTATAGAAGCCACGCTGGCTGCTGGAAACAGGAGAGGTGAAAGGTTCATAAACTCCTCTTAGGTTGTCACATGGCCTTAAGCAGCAGCATGTAAAATAGAAGGATGGCGCTCCTACCGACATGCTTGTCAGCTTCCGCCGTGAGACCTCGAGTTTCTCATCAACCAGAATGATGCAGCTGAGTTGGAAACCTGAAGTCCCTCCCTGTGCAAGCCCAGCAGTCCCCAGCCAGGGAGCCCAGGTGTTCCTGACACCCCACACACCTCAGCACGTGTGGGGTATTTTAGATGCCAGGACGGGGAGCCACAGGCTACAGCTCTCCCCTCCCCGAGGGCACCTACTGTGTGTTCTGCACCTCTGGGAGTGCTCGATTCTGGCCAAGAAATGCTTCGTTCTAATTTCATCATTCTGGAAATAAATACTTTCAATATGTAAAGACACTGCTCAGCTGTCACGTCCCACGAGGTAAGAGGAGCTGTGTGTCCAGTGGAGGGAGTTAGTGTGCTATTGTGGCACCCAGGCACGGCACCCCATGCTCAGCCAAAATCACGGTTTCCTGTACTTGGGGAAAGTGTCCTGTACTTGGGGCTGCCCTCCTCTCTGCTAACGGGGTTACAGCCCCGGCCAGGCATAGTGGCTCACACCTATGATCCTGGCACTTTGGGAGGCTGAGGCAGGAGGATCACTTAAGGCTAGGAGTTCGAGACCAGCCTGGGCAACATAGCAAGACCCCATCTCTACAATTAAAAAAAAAAAAAAGGAAGAAAGGGTTTACAGACCAGCTGCAGGCCCATACTACTCTGGTCCTCCCAGCACCTCCGTGAGCAGGAGAGGAATGAGGAATCGAACATTTAGTGGGTGCAGCCGTGGGCCAGGCACCTTGCTGCGTGCTCTGTGTGCACTCCTCCTTTAATCCTCAAACAAGCCACCAAGGTTGATGTTATCCCCATTTCCTTGTAAGCCACTTGAAGTTTCCACGGGGCACGACTAAATGAAATTATCCCATTTAACTAGGAAAGAAAGTGAGGCTCTGAAATGTTAGGTGCTATTTTTAAGGCTCCACAGCGAGTATCAGAATCCACATCTTACTGTCTCTGCTCGTCCTCCATGGCCCCGCCGGGGAGAGGACCAGGCTGCAGTGCAGACTCTGAAGGGCCCAGGCAGGGCTCCTTCGCACCAAAGCAAGTCTCCCCTGCAGTCACACCGGAGCCTTTTCGTTCCTCTAGCTAAGGCTTTGGTTCCTGCAAACTGCAAATCCCCTGGGGTAGGTAACACTTTAAACTTATCAAGAATATGTACTTCAGTGGGAGTGAATCTGGAATATTCTTCGTAACATGAGCTTTTGCTGGATGGTAGTCTCCTCCGTTAGCCTCTCGGACGTCATTTACTCCACATCCCAGCCCTGTGAGAGGCCATTGTTGACACCCCAGTTTGTAGATTGGGAAGTTCGGGCACTAGAGAAAGTTCTGGACTTTCCTCATTTCCGCTGCAAGTGGTAGCGCTGGCTCAGGGCTCACGCCCGCTCAGGTTCAGTGTTGCTGGTGCCAGGGAGTTTGACCACGAGTCACAAATGTGGACAGCCTCGCCTGAGTGAGCAGTGACAGCGTTTGTGTTCGGTACGTCCCAGCTCACAAGGCACGTGCGCACGTACGCGCCATCTCTCCTGCCCACAGGTGGGCCGACGGGTGGGCCCTGTGAGGAAAGCCAGGCCGAGAGGAGAAGCGACCCTGCTCCGGTCTCAGCGCCAGCGAGTGGCAGAGACAGCCCTAAACTCCAGACCTGCCCTCTTCCTATGTGCCCGCTGCCTGTCCCCAACCCCGGGTGGGATTTGGTCACACTGGGAGCACCTCGACTGCCCGCGGGGCGGCGCGAGAGGAGAGCGCACCACTTAGGGCCTCGCTCCCGTGGTGGCAGAACAGAGAGAGCCACAGCCCTCTGCCGCCTGCCCGGCCGGCCCATCTGGGAGGGGAATCCTTCTCCCTGAATCAAACAGCTAATTAATTTGGGACTGCAGGGATACTGTCATTAACGATCTGCTGGCGCTGTGTGAACCGGGCGGTGTTGTGTCTGCAGACCCGGGGGAGGGTGTGGACAGAATGTCAGGAGGCCGGGAGACATTTTCCACCGTGTTGTCACTGCTCCGGTGATTGAGTTATCTCTTTCTTGCAGGTGGAGAGAGACTTTGAGAGGGAGTATGGAAAACTCCAGCAGTGAGTGTCAAACCCCAGAAGAGGGAAGCGGGAGGCGGGGAGGGACGGGCAGGAGCCTCGTGCTGGGTCTCCCCTCCCGAGGCCTCGTCTGCTCACCGCCCTTCATGGGCTGCACTGTCGCCCGTTGGCGCCCTGGGGGCTGAGGGCAGCAGCTTCACCAGGCTGCCAGCCGCTCTCCCCAGCAGGTGGCCGGGTGAGAGTCGTTAACTTGTAGCCTTTGGGTGTGCGGCCTTGTGCAGAGTGTGCAGTGGCACTTCAGTCAGCGGGAAAGTCCCCGTGGAGCAGGGCCCCTGCTCCTCCCCGGCAGGCATCCCGGAGCAGCCACTCAGGCCTACTTCAGGGGGAGGGGGAGGAAGGGCCCCGAAGCAGCCAGCGAGGCCCTTGCCCAGGCCCGTCCCTGCCTTGCAGGCTGGAAGAGCAGACCCGGAGGCTGCAGAAAGACATGAAGAAGAGCACCGACGCCGACCTGGGTAGGTGGCGCTGCGCCTCGTGACTGGCTCGGGCAGGCGGGGGCAGAGGTGGGCACCCTCCTCCCTCAGCCCCTCTCAGGGCTAACTCTGCAGTCACCGCTCAGAGGACACCCAACCAGTGTCCCTGAGAAGTGACCTGAGGTCACTCCTCACTGAGCAGATCCCCTTCCCATGAAGCCCCACTGCCCCACTCTGGCGGTGGGTGCCAGGGTTCCGGGGCAGACAGTGCCACCGCCAGCAGGAGCTTCTAGTCGCAGATGCCTCCACTTCCTCAGATCTGGGCCACCAGCTCAGGCTGTCCAGAGAGCAAAAGCAGCACATTCCCTGCAGAAATGAGCGCCTGGCCTGGTGGGACTGGTTTTCCAGTGGTGACGGGAGCTAAAGCTGATGTGTTTAAGCAAGAGGTTGGGTTAAAGTGCAGGACCAGAAATAGGGCAGGTCATTCTGTTCTTACGAAGGGCACTGAAGAGCCCTTGGTAGGTCGGAGCTGGCAGCTGCCAGGACGCAGCCAGTGGCCTTGGGGAGGTGTCTTGGCTGAAGAGTTCTCGTGTGAAACGAGAGGGAGCTGGGCCCAGGAGCCCAGAGACCAAGGCAGCCCTGGAGTGAGGGACACCAGCCGTGTCCCAGGGAGCCAGCAGCTGGGAGTGATGGAGAACCGCTCCTGATCTTCCTTGCACAAGGCCTTGACTTAAATATAAACACACACCTTCCTACATGGGCTGATATGGAGAGGAAAATGGTCCTCCCCTGGGAGCAGTGGCCCCCGCTGCGGCATGGGTGGGAGCTGCCTGCCTGTGTGGGGACTGCTGGCCCCTTCGTGGCGTCGATCGTCATGCCAGTGCTAACCCCGAGGATGTGGGCTGGTCTGAACATGACTGCCCCTCGCTCCTGGCCCCTGGCCTCTCCAAACTATGTGTGGCACAAGCCAAAGGCCGGATTAGGGAGTTTGTTATTGTTTGCTTTGTAGTTATTTCAGGTCTGAGTTACTTGGGCTGCGTTTTTCTTTCTCGTTCCCTACTGTCTGCCTGGTCAGGAGCTGCTGTGACCTTTTAGTCCCTGCCCGCTTCTCCAGCCTGCGCTGTCAGAGCATAGACGAAGCGAAGGTGTGTTGTGTTCGGAGCCAGTCGCTTTGGAACCGAGTAGAGCATCAGGGGTCTGTGACCGGGTGTGTGTGGCTGTGGAAAGCTTAGTTTGCCAGCAGAGAAACCGGGGTTAAGTGGGTGACCCTGGGGGCTGGGATTACAGGCCGCTGCCAGAAGCGGATGTGGGCAGAGAAAGCTCGTCTGCAAGAGCCGTGTCCTGGCTGGTTGCGAGGCCGGAGCCTGACAACCACACTAGACTCTCACGCGGTGGGGGCGTCCGAGTCGCAGGCGGGCTTGCTACACGGGACGCCTCAGGCCTCAGCCCAGCTCTGATGCTTCAGGCTGGGCAAGGCCTAAGAATGTGTCTCTAGTGAGTTCGCAGGTGCACCCGAGTGAGCGGGACCCACTTTGAGAACCACTGGTCCAGACAGCTCTGATCTTGGAATCTCCCGAGCTCCCTGGACAAGATCTAAAATCCCCAGCTGTTCTAAAAAAGATTCTTTTTGGCTGGGCGCGGTGGCTCACGCCTGTAATCCTAGCACTCTGGGAGGCCGAGGCAGGAGGATCGCTCGAGGTCACAAGTTCGAGACCAGCCTGAGCAAGAATGAGACCCCCGTCTCTACTAAAAATAGAAAGAAATTAGACAACTAAAAATATATAGAAAAAAATTAGCCAGGCATGGTGGTGCATGCCTGTAGTCCCAACTACTCAGGAGGCTGAGGCAGGAGGATCGCTTGAGCCCAGGAGTTTGAGGTTGCTGTGAGCTAGGATGATGCCACGGCACTTTAGCCCGGGCAACAAGTGAGACTCTGTCTCAAAAAAAAAAAAAAAAAAAAGATTCTTTTTTTCAGAAAATCGTATTACTTTCACAGTGATCAGTCTCTGTTGGATCTTTGGATCCTACATTCCAGACTCCAAAGACCCAAGTGGGGTCCAAGACCCTCGCTTTCTCCAAGGTCCAAAGACCCCAGCCTCCCATGTGCCAGGCTGACCCTGCCCCTGCCCCAGTCCCTACAGGGCAGAATGAGGGGCATGGGTTGGCATAGGGGGCCGCTGGTTCAGAAGAGCATGGGGGCCTGGTGATCTTGACATCACTGGCCCTGGCTCTGCTCTGCACACCTGAGGTGAGGGCGTCACCCGGCAGGGATTCCAGACCCGGGTCTGCCCAGAGGCTGGTGGCTTGAACAGACGCAGGTCCTTGACTTCCTGTGGTTCCAGCAAACACGAAGGGCTTTAGGAAGGGAAATTGAAGTGGGAAGGAAGTCATCTACCCTGTCCTTTGACTTTTTGGGGATTGTTTTCCTCAGATATGAAAAAAAATAGATGACATTTTTTCAGAAACGTTTCTAGTTTTATATAGGTTTTTGTTATCTTTTAATTATTCTGTGATCGTTTCATAATCAAATCAAGTTACACATAATGTTTGTTCCTAAACTTACAAAGTCTCTTCACAGAATTTTAAGTGTTTTTTCCTCCATTGCTTCAACATTTCTGGAAAGTTTACGTTTCCAGCCTTCTCCCACATTTTGCCCTTTTGCTGGGTGACTGTGGCACTCTCCCAGCTTCGAGAGAAACCCCAGGAGGGGGCTCTGGGCAGACGAGTCATCCACTCAGAGACTTTTTTGCTGGCTGTGGAGCAGCCCAAGGAGACAGGGACCCTCTGGGCTTCTGTTTCTACTGCATCACAGGGAGAGGCAGGGCTGGGGCCGGGCATCCTCCCGTGGTGTGGCAGGGGAAGGTCACATTTATAATGAACTGGGAGGTAGACCTCATGTCATTGATTCTAAGACGCTTTTTCACATTTAAAATCTCTGAAAGCAAAGTTACCATAACACTTGAGAGTGTGTCCTGGTCTGATTGGTAGCATGTTTTTCTCTCTTAGCAGTTTATACAGTAATGGTGTGTCTTATTATACAATCGATAACATCTTAAATTCAGTCACATACAAATAGTAAGAAATGCATTCAAAAATGTGTCTTCTCCCCTGAGACTCACCCAGACATGCTCTGAAACCAGTGAGGACAGCCCTGGGCCAGCGAAGCCCTTCTCTGGGGCCTCTTCTGCCCCTCTGCAATTTTGTTTGCAAATGATGGAGACCAAGAGCTCCAAAGCTGCCAACAGGTCTCCATCTTGCCTCTGAGCTGCCCAAGACTTCCAGGCACCCCCATCTGTCCAGCAGGGAGTAGAAGCACTCAAAGAGGAGGCGTGGGGGGCACTGGTCGCATCCATGGGGATGTGGTACCAGACAGGACCTTCACAAATGTGAGTGCACACCCCATCAGCCCCATGGGACCTGTGCAGCAGCTTCCTCCAGGCCGGATCACAAAGAGAACAGTGAACGGGGAAGCAGGCGCTGCGGGTCCGGGCCTGGCTTGGCGCTCTCAGCTGTTTGACCTCAGAGGCAGTACAGACCCTGCTGAGCCACACTGGCCTCATCTGCAAAACGGAACCTAAGTACATTTCCCCAAATGTCTGCTGGGTTACTTGAGCCCTAAGTGAGACAGTGCTTGCAAACCTCGGCAGAGGCAGGATGGAGACCTTTAGGCAGCTTTGGGGCTCTTGGTCCTATACATGTTTTCAGGTCTCCAGTATTTGCAAACAAAACTCTAGAGGGACAGAAAGAGGCCCCGGAGAAGGGCCATGCTGGCCCGGGGCTGTCTGCAGCAGTGTCAGAGTGTGTCTGGGTGAGCCTTGGGGGAAAACATGTTTTCCATTGTATGTCTTCCTACGGGATGTCACTGAACCCAAGGGTTGGCAAGCTACAGCTGCAAGCCAAATCTGACCTGGTTTTTGTCAATAAAGTTTTATTGAAACAGCCACCCCATTCTTTATGTGTTGTCTGTGGCTGTTCTCACAGTACAAGGCAGAGGTGAGTAGTTGCAACAGAAACCACGTAGCCCACAAAGCCTTAAGTATTTACTGTTTGGAACCCCACACTTTCATACTGAGAGCATGTGTAAGCTAAAGTACTGTTGCTTTGTCCCTGAAAGCTTCACGTCCAAACCACCTGCAGATATTTTTTTAAATGCATATTCTTGGGCTCCAGATTTATTGAATTAGAATCTAGGGAGTCAGAAATATGTATTTTATAGCTTCCAACCCAGGTGATCCTATTATAACCCAGAGTTTGGTTCAAAAGCATTCCCCAGAGCAGTGTTAGGTGGTCAGGAATGAACAGTAAACAAAAGGGATCAGTATCTCATGGCTTGGTGGCACTTTGTCGTTTTGATAGCCCGGGACATGGGAAGAGGTCACTGGGGTGCAGCCCCTGGGCCGTGGGGGCACCGGGTCCTGAAGAAAAGACTCTGAGCCCCGCCCCTTCATCGGCTCACTGAGCTCTGCCTCCGTACAGCCATGTCCAAGTCTGCCGTGAAGATCTCCTTGGACTTACTCTCCAATCCCCTCTGTGAGCAAGACCAGGACTTTTTGAACATGGTGACAGCCCTGGACACGGCCATGAAGCGCATGGACGCCTTCAACCAGGAGAAGGTGACTAGATGTTGGTCTCTGGTGGCCAAGCACCACTTTCTCTCCCCTCTGTCAGCCTATGTCGGGGTGGTGGCCTTAGCGGGCTCAGTCTGCTGCTGGGGCGCGCTCAGCCCTGGCCTATGGGCCGCAAGCCCATGCCCCGCTCTTTCCAGATGGCTCCGCTTCAGCGCAGCCTGCTCCCCGAGGGTCCCCTGAGTCACGTCACTCATGGCGAGGCCTGAGGGATACTCAAGGCAGCTCTGCGCACCCAGAGCCCTGAGCCTTTCGTAGTTGCCCACCCGCCCCACAAAATGACAAGGCAGACAGTGCTGGCAGGACGAGGACAGTGCTCCTGTCACCCTCCAGGCTTCCTGGCTGTCATCTCTGCCTCGCTCCAGCTGTGGTTAGGGGTGGCCTGCCTTACTGTCCTCCTATCCCCTTCCTGCCTGGAGTCTCGGGGGGACCCCTGACAGCTCGCTCTCTTCTGAGGAACCTGGAGCCCCCTTTTTGGGAGAGTCTGACTGGTTCCCCCCTCCAGGTTTAATGTCACTGGGTCTGTCTTTTGACAGGTGAACCAGATCCAGAAGACTGTGATTGAGCCCTTAAAAAAGTGAGTAAAGGTCATCCTGGAACCCCAGGCCTCAGGGCACTTACGGGAAAGGCACGTCTGCCACTTGGGGACTGAGCAGCACTGCTAGCGGCCAGTCCCCACGTTCCCCTGGGGGCTGACAGGAAACTCAGTGGGGACGCCAGCTCTGCGATCTGTGGCCCAAGGGCCGACGCTCCTGGTGTCTCTGGAGCACCTGAGGTGGCCCAGACACGCTCGGTGACAGCAGGGACCTTCCCGTTCTTCCTGCTGCTCCGGTGGCTGTTTTACCGTCTTCCCCTCGCTCCCGAGAGAGCGGCGGGGCCGGGCTTGCCGGGTAGAGCGAGAGAGATCTTGGCCAGCCCTCGGCGGACATGAGCAAGGCCTTTCATCTCACCCCGCCGGATTGGGCGTGCAGCTGCCTGCAGCGCCTGGCTTTGGACATGTGGGGGTGGCCGCATCGGGGAGGGGCGCGGAGGCCAGGTCCTGCCTGGGAAGGTCCCCTAGCTCGTGACCCGTCGGGGTCAGGAATGCTGCTGCGAAGCGCATCTCCCATCAGGCAAGCCCTGGGCAGTGATCAGACGGGCTATTCCCCGAGTCCCCGGGGTGGGGAGAGCAGGCCGCAGCCTTGCCTTGAAGCTCTCCAATCGCTTCATCTTCTTCCCGGCCTCTCCCAGGCAGGCGCCGACCTAGAAAGACCCCGCTGTGGCCAGCTGCACTGTATTACCTCTTCCGCGGTGGTCCCTGACCACGGCCGTGCCAGGCCTGGTAACGAGCCTTTGCTTAATGACCATCAGGCCTGGCTCGAGGCTCGGAGCGGGATGAAGAGCAGTGTGATCCTCCAGCCCCTGGTGTTTGGGGTTGGTGCCATCCGTTCCCTGCCCAGGCCCAAGATGCGGGATGAGGAAAAAGCCCTGCTAACCCCGGTGACTCTCTCAGCGAGGCCTGCAGAGCTCAGCGTGGCTGTGAGGAAAGAGATTTCTCCTCCCCACCTGCCCTGGCCCCCTAGTGTGGGGCACCCACCACCCGCTGTCTGCGAGTCACGGCTCAGCCCCACGTCGCAGGGTCACGTGAGCTGGTGCAGGAGCTCCGAGGCTTGCGGCTTTCTGTCCTGGGCTCCAGGACAGACAGCTCAGGGCTGAGCAGGAAGGAACGCAGGCCCTGCCCACAGAGGACTCTTCTGTGCCAGGGCTGCAGGGGTCCTGGGGGATGGCCAGCCACTGAGGTTGCCACAGGTACCCAGGGCTGGCAGAGCAAGGCAGGCGATACCAGCTCAGAGAACTGGGGGGCCAACACCCATCTTGATTTCAGTACCAGCGAGGTGGCCTTGAAATCTGATGCCTGGCTTCTGCAGCCAAATGCAGAGAAACCCCCGGCTGCTTCCCCCCACCCTGGTGGGCCACCACCTGCCAGGAAGAGGGGGCGTGGCAGAGGGGGCGGCTCCATCTCCGCAGCGGATCTGCTGCCCTCTGCCTGAGCCCTCGGGCCTGCCTGGCCGCCCTGGCTGGCTGCTCCTTGCGTCCCCACAGCTGACATGTGATCTCCCCCGACCACGTAAAACCGCACTGCCTGTTGCCTCCTCCCATGGGCTTCCTCCTGCCAGGAGAGAAGCTCCCAGGGACCCCAGCACCGGAAACAGGAAACTGCAGCTTTCCTGTCCTCTGATGAAGATCGTGGCCACATGGCCACCCTGCCGCCCCCAGCCTTCCCCCCAGGGGGCTCGGCCTCTAATCCCCCAGTCCCTGGGCTGCGTTCACATGTCGGATGGGGATGCTTTCAATTTCCCTTTCCTGGTGGGTGGAAGATCCCGGCTGTGTGGGCACAGGCTGAGGCATGGCAGGCATTCCCCGCAGGGCCGGCTGCGCCAGCCCACCTCCCAGCCGGCCTCCCTGCCGCCTGCCTCGCCCGCGCCCTCTTCGCCCCACGCTCCCTGGGGAGCGAGTTTGGTGTCAAACCTTAGGACAGGCACGAGGTGGGCAGTCACCATGGGTAGCGCCGCAATGAGTGCTGGCCTGGGCCCAGCCTGTGCCCCCTTCTTTGAGGAGAAGCGAAGAGCAGCACGAGGGGCTTACGGTCTAGCGGGGAAACCATGTGGTGGTCTCGGGACAGCAGGCCAGGTGTGGCAGCTGCCAGTGTGGTGCGGTGGCCCGGAGTGGGGCCGCGCAGGGTGACTGCCCCAGCTTGCCCCCTGCTCTGAGGTCTGTTTCCTCGTCTGTGGAAGGAGAGCACCGAACTGGCTTCTCGGAACGGTGCAGAAAGCCTCTGCTTGTCTGCGCCCTCCCCTGCTGTCACCCAGACCCCGACCTGGGAGTGGGGGAAGACGCCACATGGGGCGCCCAGCTGTCAGACCAGCTCCCTGCACAGCACCGCGGTTTGTCCACCGCCTGCCCCTTGCGGCCGGCAGGGCCTGTCCCATTGCTAAGAAGTAGAAAATGGGGACATGGGGCCTCAGTGGGGCGGTGCTGGGGCCAGGGGATAGGGTCCTGGTCCCCACTTTTTCAACATCCACCTCAGGGAAAGCTCTGCCCCTCCCCAGACCGATGTTAGTGCTCCCTTGAAGGTAGAAGGGCATGACACCTGTCCCTACCCCCGGGGAACCCCTCAGCCACCCAGGTGGTAATGTACTCGTGCTTTGAGGGGAGCTGCCGCGGGAGACAGAAGCGATCGTGGTGAAGACGTGGTCTTCCTGGAAGGGCAGGTGCTCAAGCAGAACAGTGGGGCCGTCCCCTGCAGCCCTGTCCCCCGCAGAGCCAGGTGGTCTTGGTTGCAGAGGGCCGGCAGGAGGAGCTGTGCCGGGAGCAGGCCCCTGTGGACACAGCCCCTCTGACCCACTGCCCCAGGGAAGCGCGTCACTCCTGGGTCCCCGCCTCACTCGGCCTCCGTGTGCATGTGGCCTGCTGTTTCCCGCGTAGGCTGCCCTGGTCCCCCCGTGTAGCCAGCATTCCTGGTGGGTCTGGCTCTGGCCCTGGGATAACCCCAGTTGACAACCGTGGGAAGGGCCATGAGCGTGAGCCACGGCGCAGCTGCTGCTGGGGTCACAGGTGTCAGGGCTCGTTGACCGACGAGCATGTCGCGGGTCCCGCCCTGCACCAGTGGAACGCACCTCATGCACACTGCCTCACTCGTGCTGCTCTTTCCTGAGGATCTGAGCTCAAAGTGACGCGGTTGTGGCCCAGGCCTGCCTGCCCCTCATCCACGCCCTGTCCCTGCCCTGCCGGCACTTCCCAGGCAGCCCGCAAGGTCGACCGCAGAGGCCCAGGCGCCGGGACTAGCCAAGCAGCAGGTGGCTTCTAACGAAAGGATCAGGGTGGCTGCTGGTGGCTCTTGGCCATCTGAGGTGGAGGGAGAGGCAGGTGGCGGCTTCTCAGGCCCCACTGCCCCCACTCCCTCGAGCCACATGGCTCCCAGCTGCCCAGGAAGGCAGAGGGGCTCCCCTGGCAGCTGAGACTCCATCGCAGCAACTGCGTTAGGCAAGAGCAGTGAGCCCGCTCCTCCCAACGGCGTCACTCCTTCACGGTGGGTGGCTTGGATGGCTGTGTCTTGGTGGCGTCTGGTTCCCACCTCCGGCCCGCACAGTGCCAGTGAGGTCCGCGCTCTAGGCGTACACAGCACCGGGAGGCCCTGTCTCCCGCCGGGCAAATCAGTCCATCGGATGTCGCTGTGATTACTGTGTCTAAGGGCTCGTGGCTGAGGATTCAGAGACGTTTCCGTGGTTTCCCCACTTCTTCAGCGTTTTGTTAGGCAGAGGACCCATTGTGGACGCTCATTAATTAGAGGAGTGAGCGTTAGTAGCCTCTCTTGGGGATAAGCCCTCGGTTTCACCCACATCTGTTCCCTGGGTCTGCGGCGTAGTTTGGGGCATTTACTGCTTTGCCAGGTTCGCGTTCTCTGTTCTCTGGCAAAACTGTTCCTTGCTCTGACCTCACGCGTACGCTGGTTGAAGCTTTTTAAGACCACATTGGTTGTGTTCCTTCGAGAGGCAGATGTGGGGAGTCCCGCTTTGTGTGGTGTCGGAACTGCCTGGAGCTGACCCGAGGGCGTGCAGGTGCCTCGCAGCCCCGGGTGGGGTGCCCGCGAGGGGAGCCCGGCCTCGGCACTTCCTTGCCCTCGTCTTTCATCTTCTCTGGGTTCCTCACAGGAACTCCGTGAGGAGTGGATTCTTCCGGTCCTGGGTCGCCAACCCCGCTTCTCGCCTCGAACGGCCCTGAGTCACGTTCCCGTAGCTGCAGGGCTGGTCTCGCCCGGCTCGAGGCTCCCGGCTTGGCTGGTGGACGCCTCCTGCCGCCAAGCCAAGGCCCAGCCCTCCAGCAGCAGCGGGCAAAGTGTGCCACCGCTCAGGGCGTCACCTTCCAGAACGCTGCCCTGTCTTCTGTCCACTTCCAGAAATCCTGCCCGTGTAGGCAAGGAAAAAGCAGCGTCCCTGCCTGGGCCCACAGGAAGCAACCGCCCTGTGTCCATCTTAAGATACCGTTGTCCTTCATAGTTAAAGATGACACTAGCAACAGAGATTTTGCCCAGGGGGGCCAAAAGTGATGCCGTGTACTGCTGCGGTTTGAGGATGGCCACTCTGAGGACTTCGTAGCCTTGTCCCTTCTAGTCATGGTGGGAGGGCGTCCTCAAGTCATTTTACTAAAGCATCTGGTTGACAGTTTGGCTGTTCCAATGGTAGAACCGTGGGATCTCTGCTTTTCCCACTTTGCAAAGGCGCCCTTGAGGGGGAAGGCGCCCTCCGCCAGGAGGTTTCAGTTCTGCCACCTGCTGGTGGCGCTGTGGGGCGTGGGGAAGGGCCCAGACACAACTGGGACCCCTGAGGTCTCTTCTGGACCGTCTCTTCCTAATTGTGACCTGGGGCAAGTCATACGTCATCTCTCTGGACTCAGTTTCTCTCGGTTTTTAAAACGAAGGTGTTGGACAGGTGTCTCCCGAGGAGTCTCCCGACCCCACGGTCCCCTAGCAGGTCTCTGCCACGCAGCGTGGCTCCCGGGAAGCGGTGGGTCCAGACGTGCTCAGCTCAGGTTTCTGAGCGAGAGAGGAGCTGCCAGGCCGCCCCGCCAAGAATGGCCCGTGCCCGACCCGCTGCGTCCCGCAGGTTTGGCAGCGTCTTCCCGAGCCTCAACATGGCGGTGAAGCGGCGGGAGCAGGCCTTGCAGGACTACCGGAGGCTGCAGGCCAAGGTGGAGAAGTACGAGGAGAAGGAGAAGACGGGGCCAGTGCTGGCCAAGCTCCACCAGGTACCGGGGAGGCGGGGTCGGGGGGTGGTGCGGGCGCAAGGGACGGAAGGAAGAGTGTGGACGGGGGCCACTGTGTCGTGTGTGGCGAGTTCCTCCCTTCACCTGGGGACACCAGGACCAAGACCGCAGCGAGAGTTCTGACACCAGCGTGCTGTTCCCCAGGCCCGAGAAGAGCTCCGGCCCGTGCGGGACGACTTCGAAGCCAAGAACAAGCAGCTCCTGGACGAGATGCCGCGGTTCTACAGCAGCCGGCTCGGCTACTTCCAGCCCAGCTTCGAGTCCCTGATCCGGGCGCAGGTGAGGCCAGCCGCTCCCGCGGAGGGTGACCACGCGCTCCTCCCTTAGGAGGTGGTCGTGGGCTTTGTGGACACACCTGGTGCCGCTCTGCTGCTGCCTGTTGCCTGGAATTTGTTTGGGTTCCCGCGTCGCTCTTAGGGTAACCCCAGCCGTGGGGTGGGCGAGGTTCCTTTCGGTGAACAGTCCCCTCAGGTTTCTCTGTCCCCCCATGTCGTGCTGTGAGCAGCAGGAAGAAGCAGGCAGCCCCTTCCGGCCTCCTTTCGGGGCAGGTTCTTTGCCGGGGGGTCCTGAGGAGACTCGGGGTCTGGAGGCCTCTCTCCGAGGACCCAGCTCCCCTGCCCCACCACCCTCGGTAGTCCTCTTTAGCACCAGGCCCCGGGGAGACTTGACTTTGAGCTACCCAGGGAGGAGCCCCCGAGCCCTGGGAGAGCCACGCTCAGGGCTGCTGCCGGGGCCCGGTGTGCCTTGTGGGGAAGGGCAGGCGGGACTCGGGTGGCGCCGGTGCTGCGGAGCTGAGTGTCAGACACAGGCCAGGACCCTGCGAAGGGACACAGCGGGAGTATGTCCCTCCTCGCCCCCATTCATCTTCAGATCTCTAGCAAGGATCGTTCTCCCCACTGGCAAAACAGAAGGGTCGAGGTGCCAAAGCCAGGAGTAGGTCCCCTCCACACAGGACCCCACTGATGGCTCAGTGTCAGCCTCAGGACCCCGACACCATCCCTTTCACCTCCAGGTAGCGGAGCAGCAGGCTGCACGTGTCTCCAGCCACTGTCGGCCACTCTGCTCTTTCCCGGGCGTCTGGCGCCCTCCAGTGGACACTTCCTGTCCTTGCGGGTTCCACAGTCGCAGGTGCTGGGAGGAGCGGATCCCGCCTCCCACCCTGCCAATTCTGGAGAGAACTCCAAAAGCCGTGGCCAGGCACTCAGTGTCAGAGAGCCTGAGACTGGACTGGGACTTGTTAGTGCCCCACATCCTTGGTCCTGTGTCATTTCTAGGGGCAGTGAGACCAAGAGCCTAGTGGGGGGTGGGGCTTCTTCCCACACTGGCCTCTGAGGCAGGGCCCCCTCTCAGCTGCACCCTCTGCCCCTGGAGGAGCTGGCTTCGGGGGCCTGTGCCTGCCCTTCCCGTGAAGTCACCCTGGGCCGCCCACGCCCTCCATCCTGTTGCTCTCGGGAGGAAGCCGCGGGTGCCCGGCTCTGCGTGCCCAGGTTGGAGCCATGCGGGAGGCGAGGGAGGGATGCCCTGTAACCAGGCAGCGGGGGAGCCAGGGCTTGTTTACCGCCCCCTTGGCACAGCCGCCTCCTCGCCCGCTGCCACTGCCATTAGTCACTGCAGAAGTGAGCATTCCCCGTGACTCACGCCCCACGGCTTGGCTTGGGCGAGGAGTTTGGGGGATAGGGTGGCTCCCGCCATCCCCCCAGCGCTTGCCCCAGGCCCCTGGCCCTCAGCCCTGAGAGGACAGGATGTTGAGACTGGCTTCATTCAGCCCCCCTCAACCCAGTGGAAACCTCGCTGTGGCGCCCGGGAGAGACTTCCCAGGGAGGGTCTCCAGTCTCTGTAGTCGCAGAGACAGCAGGGAGCTGGAGTGTTTGAAGGTGTGGGCCGTTTTCACGAAAGTGCTTGCTTTCATTGGGTCATGAGGTGGAAACTGAGGCAGGAACAGGCCTCTGTGCTCCTCTTTGGGAAAGCCCACATCCTCAGCCACCTGGGAGAGTAGCAATGGGGCCCCCGCTCCTCCACCCGCCCTCGGCTTCTGGGCCTGTGTCCCATCCGGTTCTGGTGCTACCTGGAAGAGCCTGGCCTCTGAGCTGCGCCCCTGGCTATGCGCTCGACCATGCACAAGGGCGGGTGTGAGTTGGTGAGTTAGGAGGGAACGGAAGGCTAGAACCACTCCACCTTTCTCACCTTTACCTCTAGAATTGGCTCATGGGGCTTTGGAAGCCACAGCCTACCATGTCTTCGTTCTCCCAGGGCAAAAGCCATGGGCTTCTCTCCTGGCTTCCAAAAAGCAGTCAGGCCCTGGTCCCAGTGCCTGTCACTCCTCAGCCTCCCCAGGCCTGGCCACAGGCCCGTCCCTTCTTGCACTAGCTGCTGGGAGAACAGGAGCAGGAGGGGTGTCTTCACCTGCAGCCGCCGGGGCCCTGTTGCTCGGTTTGGCTTACTGTTGCCCTGCGGTCTCGGCTGAGCCTTTCTGTGCCTGTGCCTTCCAGAAGGCTGTGGCCCTGCTCCTGTCTGTGCTGCCAGCAGTCAGGGAGAGGAGGTGGTGGTGGAGAAGCAGGAGCTGACCCCCTGGCAGCGCCAGGCCCCACTGTCCTCCCGAGCTTTGGGTGCCTGGTTCCCGGAAGCCCAGCACTGGCTGACCCTTCCTGCGTCCCCACAGGTCGTGTACTACTCCGAGATGCACAAGATCTTTGGAGACCTGACCCAACAGCTTGACCAGCCGGGCCACTCTGACGAGCAGCGGGAGCAGGAGAACGAGGCCAAGCTGAGCGAGCTCCGAGCCCTCTCCATCGTGGCTGACGACTGAATTCCCGTTGCTCTTGGAGGACTCCTGGGACACAGCCAGCTTTTCTAGTCCTTGCCCTGTCCAGGCAGGCTTGTGCTCCTCCCGCAGGCTGGGGTAGAGGTGGCCCCGGTCGGCCTCGGCAGCCTTGTGCAATGAGCGTCTTCGCCCCCGAGCTGCAGCCTCCCCCACAGCCCCAGATGCAGGTAAGCAACGTAGGAGAGCCCAGAGCTCCACTTCCAGAATTACCGTCCAAAGTACATCCAGGCCTAGGGCCAGAGCAGCCCTTCGGGGGGCGTGGGCTCCGCCGGCTCAGCCGAGGGTCTTCACCCTGCCTGCGTGGCGGGATTGCATCTACCTCCAGAGACCCCAGCCAGGGAGTCCAGCCCCTCGTTGCCTGTTCACTTCAAAGACTTTCCTAGGAGAGGCACAACTCCGCCTGGGGGACAGAAAGCAGACAGTCTGGTCCCACGCTGGGGTGAGCCCTGTGTCATTCAAGTTCGCGAGGTAACTGGGACTCTAAGTAACTGCCCCACATCAATTCACAGGCCTCAGAGCAGAACTGTGGGTTTGTATCTCACCTGGATATGTGGGATTTTATTTTTTCAAGTAAAGTTTTCACTAAAATGTCCATGTAGTATTGTGCTGACTTGAGGAGGGGACAGCCACACTGCTTTTCCCAGGGTCCTGCCACCCTCTGCGGAGCTGGCAGGACCCTCCCAACTCCAGCGGCTGGCCCGGCAGAGCCCCAGGCTCAGGGCTAGGATGGGGGGGACACACAGGCAGGCGCTATGGAGACACACTTGGTTTGTTTTTGACTTTGGTTTATTTAAAAAACAAAAAGCCAAAAAAAAAAAAAAAAACCAACTTTATATACAAAGTCAAACTGAAACCACGGATTATGGAAAGAGGCGAGAATTATGGGGAACAGGGAGAAGGCTGGGCCAGAGCCAATACCACATTCTGAACACAGGAGCCGGGGAGCGAGGTGCTGGTTTCTTCTGGCAAGTCCAGGGTGGCTGGAACAGTGTTCTATGGCAAACAGCCCAACACCGAGCTTCTGAGCAGACTCTGCTCCCATGATGGCCAAGGGAGACCCTTCCCCGGAGTCCACGCCTGGAACCAGCACGATCTGTGCCGTCCAGAAAAAGGGGTTTCTTAGCCCCAGCCAGACGCCATGTCTGTCTCTTCAGTTTATTGGCATCAGACCGTGTCACATACTCGAAAAGCCTTTTCCTCCCCTGTCTTATTCTAAACTGGAAGAGGACAGGAGAAAGTCAGCACAAGACTAAAAGGGCCCCAGGAGAAATTCCAAGGTTGAGGGCAAAATGACATTCTAGGGGTGCAAAAGATGTATTTAGTTGTAACCGGAACCGGGGTTCTTCACCCATCTGTCCCACATCGCACAGACCCCCACCCTGATGGCTTGACGTCCCTTCCAGAGGCTGAGCGCAGGGTCAGCCTCCCCTGCCCATGGCTCCAAGGTCTTGCTCCAGCTGCTTTCAGGTACCAAAGGCTCCAACTTCACCAGGCGCCATCGCCGCCCTCACCGGCCAGGCCCCTCAGTTACTGGGCGTGGGCTCCTCCTTCTCCACCCAGCTGTCGGCCTGTGTGCAGAGGAACAAGCGTCAGCGCCCAGGCCTGCCGGCTGCTCAGTCCATAGGAACCCGTGGGTGGAGGACAAAGGTGAGGCGACCCGGGCCGAGGGAGGGAAGGGGGGATGACAGGAGCCACAGTTGCCCCTGGTGTCCCTCCCCCACCTTTTCCACCATGCGCTGCATCTCCAGCTGCAGGGGCGCCAGGCGCCTCCGGAACTCCTGCAGCAGCCGCTGAAGCTGGGTCTTCTGTCGTTCCGCCGCCCGGGCCGTCTCCTCAGCCTCAGCCAGCCGGGTGCGCAGCTCCTGCATCTCTGCGGCCAGTGTCTTGTTTGTCACTTCCGTGGCTGAGAAGCGGCTATGGCTCTCCTCTGCGAGGCCGGGGAGGGAAGACCAGAAAGACTCCTGCTCTGTTGAGGCCTGGCGCACAGAGCCAGGGCCCCAAAGCCTACGGCGTGGGGGACCCCACTGGTCTCTGCACAGCCTGCCCGTGCCAGCCCCAGGCCGCTCACCCAGCTTCAGTTCCAGTGTGTGAATCTTGTTCTCCAGGTAGAGCCGGCCGCTGTCCTGCTGCTCCGCGCGCTGCAGCAGGCTGCCCACGTTGATCAGGCTGCCGTTATGGGGCACCAGGGCCTTGTGTTCCGTGGGGGCAGCACCTGGCTTTGCGCTTTTCCCAGAAGGAGGCAATAGGTCCAGGTTTCCTGGAAGGGGCCATGAAGATTTAAGGACAGGATCTGCGGAGGAGGAAGCCGCCTGCCCTGCCCCAGCAAGGCTGCGGAGCACCAGGACGTACCAAAGAGCACCTCCTCGGGCAGCCCGCCGTCCAGGCCCTCCTGGCGGCTGTACTGGAGGCTCCGGTACTGGCAGATGTTCTGTGTCACCACCCTGCTGACCAGCTGCTTGGCCTATAGAAAACACACACCCAGACACCCACTGAGCAGACGGCGCAAACCTGTGTCCTGGTGACATACAAGACCCTAGAGCAGGAGGTGAGCACAGGCCTGTGCATGTGTCAGGGGAGGCCACCCAGAGAGGACCGATGGGGCAGGAGAGAGAAGCGACCTGCTCTGCACTGAGCCGGATCCCGAGGGTCAGGAGGATCCTCTCCAAGTCCCGCCGGTGCAAGTAGCCACACCAGTTGGCATCGAAGAAGACGAAAGCAAGGAGACAGTCCAAGGGGAGCACGGCAGAGGGATCCAGCTCCTTGGGCTGCGAAGGAAACAGAGATGAGCAGGAGCCGCAGGTAGTTCTCCTAGTTGCTCCACCACCCAGGCCACAACCCTTTCGAAATGGAGCAGGTGGAGTCAGCACAGTGGCAGGCCGAGGCGGGGGACAGCGTGAGCCCAGGAGCTGGAGGCTGTAGCGTGCTGCGAGCCGGCCTATGAATGAGTGCTGCACTCCAGCCTGGGCACCAGGCGAGATGAGCAGCTTGCCTGACAGTGATGCCCAGCTGGAGACAATGGACCAGAGGGGTCCCCAGGCCTATAACCAAAGGCCTCTGGGGCACCTTGCGCTTCTCTCGGGGGAGGATCAGATACCTCCCTCTGAGTCACCCTGACAGGATAGTGAAATGTTCTAGAACCTGTGAACGTGCCCCTCCATAAGCCAAGACCCACGTTTCGTCTTTGGTCCACCAAAAGGAGTCGTGGGTGAGCATCCCGCTCCTAGGAGTGAACCAGAGCCCTGCCAGGCCTCGCCACCACTGAGGCCCAGAGAGGCCGAGGTCTCACCATGTCCTGAAGCGAAGAAAACTCCATCTCTGACTGGTTCGAGGCAACGGACCGGACCTCCGAATCCTCCAGCTTTGCTCCTGCTACAGAAAGCCCCAGATAAACAAGGAGCAGGGCACGCCCCAAACGAGCTCCCCAGTCCTGACAGGAAACCACAGGTCCAGAGAGCCACTGTTCACACTCCCCCGTCACCACCGGACGCACCGAACTCCTCTTCTCCGTCGTCCCTCAGGAGCAGCAGCTCTGGATCCAGAGCCATCTCACACAGGTCCTCAGACGCCTCCCCCCGGGGTTTCTCTTCTTCCTCCCCGCCTGAAGAGGGCGGTTTGGCCACAAGCCCATCCTCCTTCTAGAGAGACAGACCAGAGTGATGAGGAGAAGGGACGTGATTACCATAACTGCTAACAGTAACAACAGCTAACATTTGAGTATCAACTATGTTCCAGGCACTGTGTTGAGGGCTCTGTAGACACAGTCTCATTTAACGTATTTAACGTCATTCATTCCGTGGGACTCAGCGTGCCCCGGACACTTCCAGACCCCTGGGATTTCCCTCAGGAGCTGATCTCAGTCCAAGAAGAAATTATGATTACTTGATAGTATTTATGCAAGAAGCAGAGTCAGTCGTGTTTTAGAAAAGGTTTGAAAAGTCTCTAGTTAGCCATCAGGCAATCAAACACCCCCACACGTCCCAGTGTTCTGAGTGACTGGGCTTTCTGTGCTCTCGTGGCGCGTCGGCCACGCGCCCCTTCGCTCGTCCCTGCCACCTTCCCTTACCCTAGGCGCACCACTTCCTAACCGCCCTGGGCCTTCGTCCGTCCCAGGCTCCTCGGGAGTATGCAGTGGGAGGGAGGAGGGAAGGAGACGACACAGGAAGTGCCAGAACAGTGCCTGGTACAGATGATACTCAGATTAAGCGAAGCATTATCATTTGCAGTCCTCAGTGTCGAGCAGGGGTGACAGAGGTACTCACCAGTGGGGTGTCTGACTCGGCAGCTGTGCCCTCACTCTGTACCTCATCCTTGGACTCCTTGGCCACCTCCTCTTTGATGGCTTCTTCTTCCTTGGCCACCTCTTCCTTGGCCACCTCCTCCTTCTCAGGTTCAGGTGGGGACATGACTTTCTCGGGAAGGTTCAGCAGCATCTTATAAATCCTGTAGCCAAAATCCCTCTGGAGCATCTCCAGAAACAGCTCAGCCAGCACCACCACCTGTCGGGAGAGGCGTGGGGCCCTGAGCATCAGGAGGAAAGGGTACCCCGAGGTCCCCAGGACTCCTGCACCCACCTCAAAAGAGATCCTTTCTTTCGGCCTCCGATCCTCCACGATCGCATGGAGGGACAGGTTTACACAGCCAGGACGTGCAACGACAGCCGGTTCCAGAGGGGGCGGAGGAGCCTCTGGGAGGTCGGTGTCCATTTCCTGCTGTGTGGTGGCCTCGGGAGTCTCTGCATTCCTTTTAGAAGCATCTGCTGCTTGCTCTGACGCATCAGGTGTCTGTTCAGGCTCTGTTTCCTGCAACAACACCCCAGATGTGAGCCTCTGGGTCCCGGGGTCAGGGCACCTACTTCCCCCACTATGTCCCAAGGCTCAGCCTTACCCCTGGTGCCTCCTGGGGTGGGGGAGCTGCCTCTGCAGCTTTCTGCTGGCAAAGGGTCTCCCACTCTTCCAAAGTAGGCATGATGGTCCAGACGTCTGGCAGGTACACCACCACGGTCTGGAGCCGCCGCGGGGGTCCGGGCTGCAGGTACTGAAACTCGGCAAAGCGCCACCTGCTCACAGCAAAGGGAAAGGGAAGTACTAACCTGTGACGTTCTCAGGCAGACACCACATTCATAGGGAAGTGCTTCAGTTTCCCATGGGCACTAAATGGCCACACACGCCCCACGCTTTACAAGTGCAACACGAAGGCTACAGACCAATTCCTCAAGAAACGGTCAGTGGGTGAGGATACAGCAAGCAGACAGGTACTGCACAAGGTGCTAGGCAGCAAGGGGTGCCGAGCATGGCTTCAGGGCTCAGCTGGCCCTCGGCGCCCGTGAGGGTGGCAGCCGGGGGTGGAGGAGGCAGGAGAAAGCTAACTGCAGAGGGTCCAGGGGCTGGGCCTGCCCCACACACGCTCTCCAGCTGGCCGCGGGCAAGGCTTGGAGGAGGCCACTCACCACTTGGTGCAGGTGCTCAAGTCGATGCCAGTCTGGGCCTGCGCGCAGCGGATGGCGGTGCGCACCAGCACCTGCGGGTCGCCCTGGGGGTCAAGGCCATC